GACTACAATAAACAAAGGATATCTTGCAAGTTGAAAATAAATCCAAAGGCAAAATTAGAATAGCTTGAAAAGACTGCTAGAAATTTCAAAGGCTGGGTGTATCCAACTTCGAACAACGTCGAAAAGGGAATATTATTTGGGAGAAATATGGCAACTACGATGTTATAAGGGATCTGAAAATGGGCAGTGGTAAAGATAGGCCTCTCCATGCTAGGTTCCTATCCTCTCCTAGACTGAGGCCCTGTGCAAGACTGTGGAAGACTGTACTTTACTTAGTTAGGTCTAGAGTTATGCATAAGGCATGCTATTACAAGGAGGTACTCTTATTTATTAGTAATTAGTAGTACCTGTAATTTTAATGTAAGGAATCAAATGTCCAGTTCATCAGATACAGTAACTCAAATGGCGATTACTCAGACCTGCCAACTCACCCGATCTTTTCGGGTGTCACCCGATATTTAAATAAATCTCCAGTTCTCCCGATCAAATGTAATTTTCACCCGATTTTACTGATTTTACAGGTCCCCTGTAAAATGCTCTGATTTATGCATAAATTTGTTGATTTGATCATTATTATTCAATGTTGTTGCTCTCTTCGCGATGATAAACAAGCAGTCATTTAATTAATGTTTTTTTTTTGCAGTACTTTTGTATCATTTTATACCACATAGGCCTAGGCTAGTCGGCGCTTAGCCTTGGTCAGACCATGGTCGGGGTAGGCTATGCTATGCTAGGCTAGTATGATTTGTCTTAACGTGTCTTTTTTAGTGTCTTGCATCATATTTTGGTTAATTCTGAAAACTTCCAGAATTTTTTGTAAATCTCCAGATTTTTTGAAGATTTTTAAAAACATCTCCAGATTTGGCAGGTCTGATTACTGTAAACCGCGAGGCTAAACCTGGAGTACTCAGACTTCTCAAGTACTACGGAACTGCCATAGTTAGGCCTACTTTATACGGAAATTTTGCTGTAAATACGAATATACGGAAATAGACAAAAATACTACGGAAATTTATCATTAGAGTACCACAGTCGTGTCAACACAATACCAGGTGGCGCCCTCTGGACGTTGGTTACCATTCATTACGCCTGAATGACTTCATAACCTTAATGGTTTAGGATAGGCTTTCCGGAATAGGCATTTTAAAACCTAATTATTTACCATCAAGATGTACTACATGTAAAAACACAAAAAGCTCGCATTATAATATATTAGTTATCGAACACACATTTAATCATCAATTAACATTTGCAAAGAAAAATTAAGATACAACTTCTTAATAATTACGTTAAAAATTTGGATCAATGGTTTGTCATTGGAGAAAATGGCGTCGGTTGAATGCATTTTGGGTCGCCGATAGCAATGGAGTAGTCTCACATGGTATCATGACATAACACTAGTACTCTATTGGCCTAGACCTATAAATAAATAGGTACTGCATAAAGTCCAAAAAAAATATGACTTTTCCATCAGGACCTTTGGTTACATTGTCCCTAAACAAATCAAATTTGTTGGATTACTGATAAATTTTTGTGAAAACTAAGAAAAAGTAACAAGAAAAATTGTCATCCTGTCGCGTTTGTTTGAAATTCCACATCAAATTACAGACAATCAGCCCAAAGACGATCGGGTCCAGGATGATCGGGCCCATTTTCAAAATAATTTAAACTTCATGTTTATATCTTGCACTTTAGGGCAATTTATTAGGTGGCTGGTGCTACATTGGAACCCTCAATAAACAAAAGTAAAGCATAAGCAAGGCTAACAAGGCCTTACCTAACAACTTTTGAAAAGTTAAAAAAATATTAAGAGTTTGAAAATACTTGTATAGCTTAACCCTGCGAGTCGGGACATCAGAATGCCATTTGCTTTGGCTGTGAACCTTTTTGGCCACGATGTACCGGTATTTAACATCCAGAAAAATCTGTAAATTAATTGTGTTTTGTTTGTCTTATTTAAATATACTATCCTTACTTTACAAATAAATAGACTTATTATATAAGATAGTATAATACATACTCCAAGTATCGAAATGCACGCCATTGGGTCGGGATTCAATATTTCAACATTAATTATGTCATCATATTGAATCCCAACACGATGGCGTGCATTTTGATAATTGGAGTATGTATTATACTATCTTATCTGAGATTAATCAGTGGACCTTTTGGTTATTATAATGTTCCACACTTTTCATTGTATTTTTTGCATTTTATAAAATTTTTACATATCTGATTTTTTAATATAAGAACTTAATCTTTTGTAATTTTATTGTTTCTCAATAATAGCTAATTTTTGTAATTAAGATATGTTTATATGATGTTCCATAGTTTATATTTTTATATTCTGTAATAAATTTTAAAAAATAATTATCATAATAGTAATAATTGTAATGTCAGTTTCCAAAATTGTTTGCTTTGAGTTTCCTATTTTGTGCAATGAATGATCTTTCCAGTTCTGCCGTCTTAATGTGTTAGGTAAGTTTTCAATGTTTCAATTTCTGTGGTGGTGTGTGTTTTTCAATTTCCTGTATTGTATTTCAATAAAACAATTTAATTATGCATTTTTATTATATTGTAAACTTCTTGCAATTCAGTATTTTACTGCCAGTTGAAGTGAATAAAGAAATCTGAAATCTATATTACCAGTGAGAATTTTAAGTTGTTAAACTTGGAATTGCAATTGTTTCTTGTACTGTATGTTATGCCTGGCCTACTGTAGGTTTCCTTTGGCGAATTGACAAATAAAAGGCTGTGGATACAAAACACATAACCTACGGTACAAAACAGGTTTACTTTTACACTCTCACGATAAACCCTTGCTGTCTTCCCTCCAGGGGTTTAGCCAGGAAAACGGAAGAGGCCGTCCAAGATATGCTTTAGTTTAATGCAACTTTTGAAAGATTCAAAGAATATGAAGATTTTGCTAAAGTAGACCAGGCCCAACTAGGCTAGACGGAGCTGAGTAGGCCAAGCCGTCCAAGTCGTCACGGTAGAAGCGGCCGTCCTTACTAATTGTTGGCCGTCCAAAAGACAACCGGACGGCTCGCTGGCTAAGCCCTTGCATCCCGCCCTTCCCAACTGACCCAAATCCACACTCAATCCACAATCAATGCAGCCAGTGAGTCGTGCCACCACTGATCAACAGCGAAATATAGCATGTTGTGGCTTACAATAATACCAAAATGTGCAAATTAATTTTTTTTAAATGTGCACAAGCTATCTTATCTACTAGCTAAAGAACAATTTGCAAATTATCCATAATTATAAAACTGTGCAAGCCAAAGAAAGTGGTAGCCGATCATTTCGGTCGTGCTTCGTTTTGGTCGCGCTTTGTTTCGGTCGCGCTTCGTTTCGGTCGCGGTTTATTTCGAACAAATATATGGAGCGCCGAAGGAGTTGCGAATACGAAAAATTTAATATGCCTAGGCCCTATATATTTTAGTTCGTGA